TCGCATCACCCACTTTGCTCGCATCCACCATTCCGTCTGCACCCCCGGAATTTCTCCGTCGTCCTAGCACCAGCGCGATGTCGCACGCCCCCGGAGAGCGAGCACCGGTGCCGTCCCATATGCCCGTCGAGCGCCGCTGCCGCCTACACATACGCCCGCTGCTGCGGCCGATGCATCCGCGGCTCCAAAAAAGCTCCTTCTTTTGTCCAAATTGGCTAATCTGGCAGCGGTGCTGGATCTGGTAGCAGCTGAGGTGGCCAGTAGGCGTGGTAGTGCTTGATCCTCCATGGTGGGCGGCGGCACGGCAGTGGGCGTTGAGGCGGCTCGGTGACCGGACGGCCCTCTTCCTCGTCTCCCTTCAAAAGGTTTTTTTAAAATCCTCCTAAAGAGTTCATGGATGGATAGATGGATTAATTCATTGTTTGATTGGAATTTAGCCCAGTAGGATAATAATTTCGCCTTAATCCGTGGTGGTTCCAAATCCTCCTAAGAGTAATTCATGCCCAACATTCTCCGTCTCATTTTGATTGCTGCTTCTCTGGTCGCGGCATCCTACATCTCCTCTATGAGTTATCAACCCTTGTTCAGAGATAATTAGGAGTCCGATATTTTATTTTATTTGTTGATAAACTCAAGCTATTTCACATTTGATTATGTTTTTGTAGAGATGTTTTACTTTTACTGAAGTAGAAGTTGCCACTCACTATCTTGATGTAGGCTGAAAGATTACACATCCAAATTAATTTAATAAATTCGGGCATCAAAGGGAGAAAGAATGCATAGGGTGGCTATTTAATTCCATCCAATCTCTGTAGATCATGGATCAAATGCTCGCAACAAAGAAGAAAGAAGAAGATAAAAACCAAGGTGGAAAAAATACCACAAATCTCACCACTGCATTGCCAGTTCTTCATTGCTCTCTAGAGATTGGAGTAACTAATTTTTCATCCAGCTGAGCTGAAGTTTGGTTCATCCTCTTCTTCCTTGACAATCAACTGGCCAGGGAAATAAGAGGATCTACCACAAATACTCCTGATTGTGAACCAGCTTCCAAGTTTCAGTCATTATTTCTGGAACTGTTATGTAATTCGAGTACTATGATGGTGTTTATCTTCTTAAGAACAAATGAAAAAGTGTGGGAGTATGATATATCTGCTCCTTGCTCTACTTCAATATTCTAGACATTTGTTTAAGTTCTTGGAGTAAATTCAGTGTTTAGACATTTTATCTTATCCACAGCAATAACTATGTGAGTTTAATGTAATCCAAGATATTGTTCTTCATATTTCTTGCAGGCAAGAGATTGTTATTGTTACTGGTTTTTGTTGGAAGATCCAGCATTTCGCTGGCTTTTCATTGATAAGCAGGAAGCAGTGGAAAAACAGAAGGCTGTGGTTGGATCCAGTGGATCCTAGGGCTTGCCACAGATCGGCAATCCTCAAAGGGAAAAAACTAGGGTTTACACTTCATGGTGGTTCCCCGAAGGGGCTCTCAATGCAGGTTGCGCACGCGACTCGCCATAGCTCGATGCAGTCCGTAATCCTCCTGATGATGTTGGTGACACTTGGGGTGCTTCTCCTGAATGTGGCGTTGTTCCGTTCCTGCCATATCTCCCAGCATGTGAGCCGAAAAAGCGTGTTTATGCCCTTGCGCCATTTGGGTCCAGACCTGTCCAGGGTGGCTAGCGCAATGGAGGAATGCCAAAGTTCTTGCCATCTCTTCTCTAGAGCTAGTGATGCGCAACCCGTCCATGAGCTGATCGTTTCCCAAACTCTCAGTGTAATTGGGCATTCCCAAAATAGATGTTTTGAGGATTCGAGGCTTCAAGTGCACAACTGGCAGCAGTACTCGTTTTTTCAACCGCGGCGCTGAAGTTTGTCGTTGCACCACAACCTGTTTTGCAGCAAGAGCCATGCAAACATCTTGATCTTCCCTTGGGCCCAAGGTTTCCATATGATCTTGCCGAAACGCGAGGTCGTCATGCCCTGGAATTGCAACTTATAAGCTGATCTTGCGGAATATTCGCTCGTTCGCTCGAGGACCCATCGGATGGAATCGGGGGTGTCCGCATGCAGGCCGCGGGCCACGCCAAGGAGCCGCCTATGTAGTGCTAGAACATCATGTATCAGATCTTCAGTACGGCCACGGGCAAGGTCTCTGATCTAGGCGTCGTCCATGAGGGCATCCTTTACTGTCCTGGTCTTTCGCCGGGCATGCTGGGCTAGCCACGGAAATTGTTGGGCGAGCATGCCCGGCCCCATCTAGTGGGAGTGCCAGAAGGACGCCGACATGCCGTCCCCGATGGTGACCGAGGTGGTAGCCGTGAAAAGGGAGAGGTCGACGGCGTTGCATGGAAGATCCGAGCCCATCCATGGTCGATCGGGGTGGCGCCATGCGAGCCAGGGCCGGCGTAGGCGAAGAGCTCGGCCAAAATGCGGTAGGTCAGGGATTCCCAGGCCCCCGTTTTTCGTTGGCGTGCAGACTGCTGCCCAGCTTACTTTGCAGATGGCGCCGGAGATCTCCTCGTCTTTCTTCCAAATGAAACAACGTTGGCACTTGTCAATTTCTTTGAGGATCTTCTTGGGCACCCTCAGCATGGTAAGCGCAAAGGTGGGCATGGCGTTGAGGACGCAGCGAACCAGCACTCGCCGTCCCGCGATGTGGATTTGGTTTCTCTTCCAGCCCGCTAGCCGGGCCCTGATTCTATCTATGATAAACTGCAAATGCACGAGCCGAAGCCGACCGATGACAAGCGGGAGGCCAAGGTATTTGATCAGGAATGGGGCAATTGAGCCGGCGAAGTTGTGTAGCACATTGGCTAGGTCTAGGTCGTTGTAGCTAATTGGCGAGGCCGTGGATTTTGTGGTGTTTATGCATAGTCCCGTGGCACGTACGATTTGGCGTAGGATGCTCAGTAAGGCGTCGACCTCCTGGCGGATTGGGTTGATGAAGACGACTGCGTCATCGGCGTAGAGGCTAACCCTTAGCTTCAACTTGCGGCCTGGTATTTGTTGGAGGAGTTGCTGCTCGACCGCCTCTGCCAGCAGGTGGTGCAGTGGGTCTATGGCGAGAATGAAGAGAAACTGCGAGAGCGGATCTCTTTGGCGAAGACCGCAGCAGTGAGCAAAGTGGTAGCCCGGCACCCCATTCAAAGAGACCGCCGAGTACGCCGAGGAGAGGAGCAGGGCCACCCATTCTCGCCATCACGCACTGAACCCGAGCTGTTGCAGCAGCTCAAGCAAGTAGTCCCAAGAGACCGTGTCAAACACTTTCTCGATGTCGAGCTTCATGAGTAGTGCCGGCGTTTTGCGATGGTGGAGGTGGAAGACAGTGTTTTGCACATAGAGAAAACTATCATGGATGCATTTAGTTTTTAGGAATGCCGTCTGCACCGGTGAAATGATTGTGTGGATCACCCTTGCCAACCTCATGGAAAGAACCTTGGAGATGAGCTTTGCCATCGAATGTATTAGGCTAATCGGGCGATAGTCCGTGATTGCAGTTTCTCCGTCCTTCTTGGGGAGGAGAATGATCAGGGCCCGGTTGATGGCATCCACGTCTCCTCCGGCTAGGTGATAGAACTGATGAAAAACCGCTATGACGTCGAGCTTGATGATCGACCAGCATGCACGGAAGAAAGTTCCGTTGAAGCCATCAAGCCCTGGCGTTTTTCCTGCGGCGAGGCACAGATCTCCTGCCAAACCTCTTCCTCCGAAAACGGGTTGTCTAAACCGACTGCCAGTAATGATGGAAGGTTGACCGAGCTCCAGTTTATAGTGGTGTCTCTAATGGGCTCGACCCCAAGGGAGGAGTTGAAGTGGTCGTAGATAGCATTGGCCTTGTCGCTATGCGATGTGAGAATCGAGTGTGTCGTGTGGATGGCATGAATGAAGTTTTTCTGCCTCCTAGAGTTGATCTTGGCCTGGAAGAAGGCCGACCGGGCATCGCCGGCCCGCAGCCAGGTGATGCACGAGGCCGGGCGCTTCCTTGCCTGATCAATCGCAGCCAGGCCAAGGACGCGGAGTTTGAGCTGTTTCCGGAGAGCCAGCTTGCCGTGTGATAGCTGTCTGTGCTCTTGGGCGATGTCGAGGCGGAGAACTACTTCATTTGCAATCTGCAACTGCAGCCGGGTACTGCTGGAGAAGCCCTTTGCCCAGATTTTGAGATCCTTTGCCGCCCTATCTACTTTGACGCGGATGCGTTTGAATGCACAGCTAGAGGCAACAGGGCGGTCCAACGCATGTTGCACCATTGTGTGGAATCTAGGGAAGCGTGGCCAGAAGGATTCAAACCGGAAACGAGACGGACGGTGTGGTGCGGTTGCTGCGGCGAGCAGTAGGGGGCAGTGTAGGAGGAAGGTTGGGAAATGGGTGTCCCAAGCATTGCTGCAGAAAAACTTGTCGATGCTGACAAGTGTTCAAACTATACGCTCGTTGCTCCATGTGTAACGATGGTTTTTCCATCTAATCTCCCGGAGTCCTGCAGCGTCGATCGCCGCATGAAATTTACCCGTCATTCTATGGTTGATGTTGCTATTGTTCTTGTCACTAGCTTTGTATATGAGGTTGAAATCGCCATTGATGAGCCAGGGATCATTTGGTGGCGGCGCCGCCCTAGCTATCTCCGACAAGAACTTGTCCTTTCTGCTGTCAGCAACGGGGTCGTACACCATGGTCAACTAGAATTGTGTTGAGCTAGCCCATAAGGTAACACAGGCGGTGATGGAGAACTGACCGACAGCGTGCGATTGCACATCAACTACACTACTATCCCGGAAGATTGCAGCACTGCCCCTGGTACCGGACGCGGGGAGCACTACGCAGTCAGCTAGCCTTGCTCCGCCGACCTCCTTGACCAGAGGGCGATTCCAGGCTTCGATTTTAGTCTCCTGGAGGCAAAGGACGGCTAACCTATGCACTTCTGCTGTCTTGCAAACTACAGCATGATGCGCCGGCATGCTTAAATCTCGGACGTTCCAGCTCATGATGGGACAATTTGTGTCAATCATTAAACACGATGAATCTGCTCCGGCGACTACGGAATTTAGTAAGCAAATATGGGTACGCCTTCTCACGGTCTGGGGGCTGCCAGCGGCCACCAATAGGCCCCAATATCTGTCGGCAGACGACAGTGCCACTACACCTGCTACAAGGACAACAGAGAACTAGACCTAGCTCAGCCCAGCCGATTGATGGGCAGTGCCGGAGCGAACGACCACTAGAGTGCACTAACATGGGGAAAGCATGGCCTCCGGGGCCTCTCTGTCAGGGCCTTGCATGCCCGCCGCCACCCGCAGCGCGGCCGGTTCGAGGTTGGTGAGCCTGGCGATGGCCTGGATGTCGGTGTCAGACAGTGGTTCGTTGAAGCGCTTGGTGAGGGCCTAGGCTGCCTTTGCGGTCATTGCTTCCTTCGGGCCAAGGATGCCGAGGCCATGGACGATGCGGAGGGTGGCGCGCTGACTGACAGGGAGTATGGAGGGGTTGCTAGCTTGGCGTGCACTGTGGTGAGTCGCTGCCGGCCTGGGGCGGACCGGGGTCTTGGAGCGGGGAGGCGCCCGGCCAACAACATAGACCGGGGTGTTGGAGAAGAGTTGCTTGGTCTTGTCCCTGGCGTCTTCCTCGCTGATCTGTAGGTGACAGACTTGGCTTGTCACGGCGCCGAGCTGCAGGGAGTGCGTGTCCGCCATCGCCAGGGTGTGCCTGATGAGGCAGAGGGCAGGGCCCATGTCGATGCCGTCCGTGTCGCCCTCAGTGCCCCCCTCATGCTCGGAGAAGGAGAGGGTCTTGTCCACTTTATTTGCCGCCACCGCGTCCATCACAGCGGCCCTAGGGTCCGGGCGTGACGGGGGGAGCTCCTTGCCAGCCTCCTCGAAGAAATCGGTGACCGATTCTTCTTCTGCGGCCACCGCAGGAGGAGTCAGTGGGCGTGGCGGAGCTAGGAGCGGGTTGGCAGGGGCGGAGCGGCCCTCGAAGACTAACCGCGCGCAAAGCACTTGGTGCCGCCCGCACCCATCCCATGCTGCAGGACTTGGACGTGGCCATTGCCGTTGACGCTGCCGTGGCGCTTGGCGTGGTGGTCAGAGCTGTTGCGGCACCCACGAGGCGCCCCTTGGTGGTGACGAGAGCATGGAGTGCGGCTGCGCTAGCGCTCGGGGGGCGGGTCGACGGCTTCCGTGACGCGCTCCTTGTCGCGTCCCCGCCCTAGCAAGTTGTCCTTCTAGGAACGCCTCTAGCCTCCACCACCCTTGCCAGCGTGGCCGTGCCTGGCGCCCGATGAGGGCATGCCCCTGCAGCCCGTGGACACCACCTGCGCCTGGAGGCGGGCACGACCCGCGCCCACGCCCGGATCCTGCACCACGCGCCTGTCTTCGATCCCGTGCGTCCAGCCGCCGGCAAGAGGGCGACGCGGGAATGGGCGGTCGTTGTCGTCATCGTCCAAGGAGGGGAGGCCGCTCTATCCTGAGTGGGAGGTTGCGGGGACAGAGGGGACCAATCCTCGATGCGGTCGATGTGGACCAAGATGTCCCACCTAAGCAGAGCCGGTGGCGGCGCGACGACACGGCTTGGCGGAGAGAATCCAAGCATTTCCTCCACCCTGCCCGCACCCCACGCGTGCTTCCAGAGTGTCCGCCTGGTGGGGATGTGGTGCAGCTCCCACACCCACACCCAGACGGCGAAAGTCTTCGTGTCTGCCCACTCGAAAGTGCAGCTGTCATGCCGGTCGATGATGACCTGGTCGCCGAGCGTGTCGGCCACCCCCTCTAGGGTCCAGAGCTGCTTGGGCAACTTCTCGAGGATGACGTGCATGTACATCATTCAGGTGGCGTGCACCGCGTGCGTGTCTTCTTGACAGGGCTCCAGGAGGAACTAGACGCCGTCCACCGTGATTGCGCCCCGATGCACGAGTAGATCCTTGTGGGCGGGCAGGTGGAAGTGGACGAAGAAGTCTTCAAGGTCGTGGCTGGTGGCGCGAAGGAGGTGCGCAGGGATCTGGAACTCATTCTCAATGGCCCAGCCGATGGAATAAGGGTTGGTGGCGTGGACCTTGCTGACGACTGTCACCACCACAGCATGCTGCTGCAGGAGGAAGACTTGCTGCTCCAGGGACGGCATGGATGCGATCACCTTGTGGCTGAGTCGGGGCCAACGCCCGTGGCCGATGCCGGGGGCATCGCTGGAGGCCATGGGAGCCGTGGCGGAGCGGTCGGGGAAGACAAGACGCTCACGAACCGGACGCGAGACGACGCCCCAGCCCAGGCGGTCGCGCACTGAGCTGTCGCCTCTCTGATTCCTGATGTTCTGGGGGCACTCTCTGCCGTAGTGGCCGGGCCTTCTACAGATGATGCAGTGGATTGGATCGTGGCAATCGGCACGGCGGTGGCTGGAGCTCAGGCAGCAGAAACAGAGCCGTTTGGGGCTAGATCTCGCAAGGGAGACGTCGCAACTATGATGGATCGAAGGCGTTGTAGCTCAAACGGTGGACGGTGTACATGGCCTCCCGGATCGAGACGGGGCGCGTCCTCGGGGAGCGCTCCACGATGCAGGATTCGCGGCGGCGAGCCCTCCTCCCGCGCGACCAAGGAGGATGGGGTGGCAGCCACCTCGGATGGCCCGACGGATAGATCCACGCCCGTAGGGGAGAGGCATTGAGGACTGGCCGGTGGCGACCCAGGATCCCAGGGAGAGGCAATGGAAGGCATGGAGGGGGACGGCTGCCCAGGGGATGGTGGGTAGCTGCGGCGCGGGCTTGGGGGAGGAGGAGCTCTGGCTCACGCTTGTGAAGCCAGATGATATTTTGGCTTGGCAATCTTGGGCAACAACCAAACACACATTGAATCCAATGCTTCTCCCTCTCTTCTGTTCGTCACAATCTCGGTAGAATATATGTTTCTTCTTTAATGTTAAAGATGTGGCTCTCTCGATGCCGAAGCTTCATCCTCGTCGTGCCGGGGAACGATGGCGACGAGCTTCTACCTCGTCTACAACCTCCTAGGTGAGTTCCTCCTATTCTCCGTGGTGCCACAGATAGCTCTAGACTTGTGATTTGCTATGACTTTAGGGTTGTTAATTCTCCACTGCTGCTATGATGCTACTGTTTATAGTTTAATTCATGTGTTGCTGCCATGATTTGTTCCTGTTTACTGCTGGAGTACTTGTTCATCATCATTTCAGCATGATGATTTACTCCTATTTTCAGCAAATGTTCCTGCTTAAATTACCAGTAGTAATCTTGCAAAAATGTCGGGAGTAAATTACGGTACTCCTAATACCAGGAATAAATTTTCAGCAAATTGTTCTTGTTTAAATTATTCCTAATCACTACTATCATTTAATTTGGAGTTGCTAATGATTTTATCTGTTTATAGCTATTTGGAGTAGGAGTAGTTCTTTATATACCCTGAGTAGTTCTGACTAAGCAGATAATCTCCAGCATTTTTTCGAGAAACAAAATCTCCTGCATTTTACCTTATGCAATTCTAACAAACTTCATTACTCCCGTTGAATAAAGTTCATTTCTATGCTCCCAGATCGCTGGTGGTAGCGGTACTCCATACCAGTAGTATTTGATGGCTTTCATTGCTAAGTTAAACCATCAATACATATACACACTGGTGGAGTATTTACTTTTTTTAGAGACTTTCATGCATTACATTAATGCATAAATGTCTTAGGCAAAGAATGTTTAATTCAGTGGTGTAGTAGCATTAGCTTGCTCCACTGTATACCGTATGCTCCGTTGTATACCAGGAGTATATGTTTCTGGTTGCCGGGGAAACTGATCCATGAACACCTATGGGGATCGGCGGACCGAGCCCCTTTCGATTCGGTGAGGGCGGAGGTCGCACAAAGAGCGGATCGAGGCGGTACACGTGAGCAGTTTTACCCAGCTTCGGGCCGCACGGATGCGTAAAACCCTACTGCTGCTTGTTTGTGTGTATTGAATCCTTGCTCAGGAGCGATAGACGCTATCAGACTGAGCGTGGGAGTGTTTCTGGTGTTTCGAATGAGCCGAACCTAACCCCCCTCTACGTTGCGCTTGGGCCTCCTTTTATACTCTCAAGGGGTCACCGACAGGTGGCAACGTAGACTAGAAGGGTAAAAATGGAAAACGATGCGGTAGGTGCAGCTACTGCTACTGTGGATACAGTGCACCCTACCTAACTCTGATGGCAGGGGACAAGGTCATTGAATGCCTGTCTGAGTTGCCTAAACAGTGCAAAAAGTGACTGTTAGGAGCGCCACCGTTTGCCACGATGGCCTTCTCTTCATCTCCGCTTGCCACCGCGCACCCCTAGCTGCGCGGCCTCCTGCCACATGTGCTTGGGAGAGTCCTAGAGCGACACGTTAGCAGGTGTGCTGGAGCGTGGGTACAGAGTGGCAACTGGCCCCCGGCAAGTACCTTGCCGGGGTCATCGTCTTGTCGCGTCCGGAAGCTTGTCGCTCGACGGATCTTGCCGGGACGTGTGGTGCGTCGCGGTAAGTTTCTTGAAGTGTCGTGGTTGGCCTTCCCGGCAAGCTCCTCTTGCCGGGGCCTTGTATCTGTCCTCCCTAGCAGGGCAGGATGCTCCTTGCCAGGAAGGTAGCTTGAGTCTTGCTTGCCGATGTAGTGCTTGTCGGCGAAGATGGATCCTCTTTAGCGTAATTGCATACAGTCATGGCCCATGCCCGGCGGTTAGTGTAGCCCTGGTTTTCACTACACCGACAGTAGCCCCCGGGCCCGGCTGCAGCGGAGAACTTCATGAATTCGACGCTGGAGACGGGACCAAACTTGGCATGGGCCATGGTTGTTGTTGCACTTAAAGGAGCTACAAACCCCCGAGCCTACTTCCATGGAAATTTTCTGGTAGAGAAATCTAACGTTCTCGATGCCGGTTTCCGGCAAGCTCGTCGCTAGGAAGGCTTTTATCTCTAGAAGAGAACTTTGACGTTCTCGATGCCGGCTTCCGGCATGCTTGTTGCCAGGAAGGCTTTTATCTTCAGCAGAGAACTTTGACGTTCTTGATGCCGGCTTCCGGCAAGCTTGTTGCCAGGAAGGCTTTTATCTTCAGCAGAGAACTTTGACGTTCTCGATGCCGGCTTCCGGCAAGCTTGTTGCCAGGAAGGCTTTTATCTTCAGCAGAGAACTTTGACGTTCTCGATGCCGGCTTCCGGCAAGCTTGTTGCCAGGAAGGCTCTTATCTTCAGCAGATAACTTTGACGTTCTCGATGCCGGCTTCCAGCAAGCTTGTTGCCAGGAAGGCTTTTATCTTCAGCAGAGAACTTTGATGTTCTCGATGCCGGCTTCCAGCAAGCTTGTTGCCAGGAAGGCTCTTATCTTCAGCAGAGAACTTTGACGTTCTCGATGCCGGCTTCCAGCAAGCTTGTTGCCAGGAAGGCTTATGGCGAAGAACTTCGTTGTTCTTGACACCGGCTCCCGGCAAGATTGTTGCCGGAAAGGCTTATGGCGAAGAACTTCGTCGTTCTTGACACCAAGAAGATTGGTCCTAAGGGCGTTGCCAGCCCCCGGGCCATAACTGCGTTTAAACATGACAAGTGATTAGCATCTGAAGTGCACTTAACTCACTTGCAAATTTTGACTTTTGCTGCATATTCCCTATGCCTGCTGGAATGCTTTCCGGTGCGTATGATCCAGCCAGCAACGCTTGAGGGAACGGGCCCTTAGCGGCTATTCGGGAACATTGCCTCCCGGAAAGGTTTACCTTCTTGGTTCTAGCGCAACCGCACAAGTTGCCGAGCGGACTCGAGGCACCATGGAGCGCAACTAGCCCCGAGAAGGCTCCTTGGCATACAGGTCTATGCAGAATTCTCAAATAAA